GTTTTTTATTAGAAATATGCTTAGTACGGTGGTAGGCTGACATATATAGCGATGTATCTCAGTATCTTAATATTAATTATGTAACCTTAATTTCGATTACTCTATTAATAAAGATCACGAGAAATGCCTCACTTAACATTAAAAAAAAATCAATTATTTATTAAAATCATAAATAAAAATAAATTTGATTAAAAACTTTCAAACAAACTATATACCGTATATAATTTTAAATGTAATTTTTATAATTAGAATTATAATAGTCAATACTGTATATTGATATTAATAAACATTTATAAATTATTGATTGTTTCTTTAAAATAACTATTGTATGTTAATTAATAAATATTATGTTATAATGTTAGTATTGTAAAAATATTTTTTATATTATAATTACTTTATATACAGTATATATGATTTTGATTCCAAAGATTAAATATATTGCTTTAGGCTATATGGAAATAAAATAATTTACATAATAGACGTTTTTTGGGGGAATTTTTCAGATAAGGCAAGGGTTGTTTTGCTAAGGCGCAAATTAGGCGCCAAGGAAATTGATCACATTTCCTATTTTTATACACAATATACGTAAAATACATAATGCATATCTATTCCATTTTAATGAAACAAGTAATCGTTGCGTTAGCCGAGAGGACCTAAAAAATGTCGCGTGAATATAATGGTGAAATTAACCTTCCGAGATGAGATTTTGTTAAATTCAATCAGTGAATACTCGTTTTTAACAAATCGAAAATCAAGTATTTCATATACTTTCTTTCTGTGAACAAAAGAATGAAGAAGCATTCTTGTTATTCTTAAATCGATTGGAAAGAACAAACAAACAATGATTACACCGAAATGCGTATCATTACAAACATCAATATTTTATTCTTCTTACCTAACACCGATGAAACAAGTTCCGACTGGTAAGGATATGTCTGTCAAATTTGTGGGGTCAATTAAAAGTTCTTTGAATTATTTATTCGTCACGTAATGTGTTGTTTTTGTAAAAAAAAGGGACCAAAAGTTTGTCACGATAGGTTTGCCAAAAAAAATCATCAATCGAAAAGTCATTGCGGATTGATTCCCACCATTTTACGGGCGCAATTTTCCGAAAAAAAAAAATCTGACTGATAATCTTAGCCTAAAATGAATATGCGACGACGGCACCTGAAGTATCATGCGTACCTCATTTGTCAGTGCATTGCATCTTTATTTCGTAGAAACGTCATGCATAACGCCGATTTGCATGCACACACTCAATCTGCACTTATTGTATAACCTGCTTGATCCTCACAGAGTTTAATCAAAGCCCATTAATGAATTTTACTAAACTAGTAATTAATCTATACCTCTACATTTCACATTCAATGATATTTCCAAACTTGGCTCACTTCAAAGCCGTTGTAGTGCTGCGGAAGTGGCTTGAACAAAGCCAATGAGTGATACGATTCGCGATACGGGGTTACAAAATTTCGGGGTGCTTTTTTTTTGTGGCAAAGCCTTTCGAACCGGCTGTGTGGGAAGAATGATGAGATAATTGAGGGAGATATCGATATGGTTTCGATGAAAAAGGAAGTCGAGAATAATAACGTAAGATAGGCGCCACGCGATATTTTTTAATTAATCTTTAATTTTTTTTTCCGCTAGCGTGAAAGTGTGAAAACGGAAGATCTTCCCAGGAACGGTAATTTATCGCTGAAAAGCAGGTGCTGGCTTACGTGTTGAAATTACATTTTTAATTGGTATACCTCTATTGGGAATTTTCCCTCTTTCTATTTGTGGTCTTTTTTTTTTTTTTTTTTGCCGCGGAAATTGCGATACGGCTGTGAATGTGGCTGATCATAGAATTATTGGGTCTGTGGAATTTCATTGTGGTCAATTTTTATTTGGCGCTCATTGAACGGGCGGGGTAATTTCTCAATATCTAGATTCATTAGGTAATCAGATTATAAAAAAATAAAGACGAATTATGTCTTTGTCGATTGATCGATCCACTCAAGGTTTCTAACTCGAAATGTGACAAGATTAAATTATCATTCTATCCACACATCAGGTTAGTTATTTGGTCTCGATCTGTATTCTGATGGGGGTAGGTAATTTGATTCTAGGCGGTTCATAGGGATTTGTCAAAGACATGATCGTCCGACACTATGACGGAAAATCGATCACATGAATTAATGATAAGCGGATGATTGAGGGAATAAAACTGGTTCGTCCAAACACCTTTGTAATAAGTAAACGTGACAAGGAGTATCGTTTTTTTATTTCCAAAATAATACTTTCATTTACTCAAACACGAATTTGGTAATTCTACAATTTTCAAATTCAATGCTCGACGAGCTGACTAGTTCAGTAACTTCTTAATTATATTCACCAATAAGAATAAGCACCATAAACGAATCCCAAATGCATAGTTACGAAGTGACAGATATTAAAATCACCCAACACCATAGTATTTTTCAACATAAGTTATCCAATGGACAATAATTCTCCTTATTTCGTTCCATCCATGTTGCTTAATATTATTATTAACCTCATTGGTGATATCTTTGGCCGGTGCAACAGCTTTAAACCATTCTCTATGTACATTACCGCATCCCGAACAAACTTCCACATCCGCTCTATACTTCTCGCTTAATTCAATATGAATTAATCGTTCGACTCGATGCGTGTATTTGCATTTAGTTATCTTCTCCAACTGAGATGAGCGCTCGTCACTTGACAGGCTTTTCTCATCTCCAAAAATCGTGTTCAACATCGATTCCTGGGACGAGAATGAACTTGATAAGTTCACATCTGGAAAAAGTTCTATCAACTGAGGCGTATAACCACAATGATGGGACCACTGGTACAGTCGCCGATGAATATTGGTAGTCCGACCAACTTTATATAGCGTACAATTGGGATCATGATGTGAAGAAGGGCCTAATTGTATATACGAGTAATTATCAGATATTTTGTTTTAACACTTGTTCACGGCGTATGTATGTTAAATTAATAAATAAAAAATGTCTTATAAATTTACCCTCAATCAATCTATATGCGTATATGAAACCAGCCTCATCCCTATCGGATATTGGTTTTTCCATTTCAGCGATTAGCAATCTCTTGGTCTCTTCGGATAGATCATCGTTTAACCAGTCTGTTCGATTAAATTATTCATTATATGTAACGGCTACAATTGCATGGGTGATCTTGTAAGAAAAGCGTACACATAGACAATCAATACCTTTAAATTTAACCCACGTAATCTTGGATCTTCCCGGAACGAAGAGAACTCTTTCGATTTCTGCTTGCTCCAACATCGATTGCTTGTGTTGTTGACAGTATTTCTCTTCCGATTTCACCTTACGGAAGCATTTCTTGTTGGTCTTATAATTTTTTCCCTGACAAGTTGCATCAGAAGTGAGATCGACATGAATCCTATTATTATGTAGCGTGGGTGTTGTTGTTGTTGACCCAGATCTAGATGTTTGATTCCTCGGTGCGGTGGGTGTCTTATCATTGTCCGCGTATTTTTTCGAGGGTGAAAATCGCGATTCGTATAACAACTTCTGAGTCCTGACAGGAGTTGGAGATGATGGTGGGGAGTCATCGCTATCATCTATATTAATTGTTTCCTTTTTCTGCGATCCAGGCAAAGGCAAAAAGGGCGTGAAGTTTTCGATAATAGAAGACGCAATTTTATATCCCCTTATCGATTGAGTTGGTGACGAAGAGAGTATAGGGGCTAACTCTAAACAATCAGATGGGGTCACATGGGTAGGTGTTTGAAAAAATTCTTTACTTTTCGTCTCCAGGAAGCTATCGTCTGGGTGAGCGGGGCTTTCTAGAGGCAAACGAGGAAGTGGCGGAGTTACAGAACGAGACACCGTGGCGGGCGACGATTGATCCGATTCAGTATATGATGCTGGTGTTTCAACGGTTTGGGTGACTTCTGTCGTTCCGTTGGATTGAGTGATTTGTACCTCAACATTATTCTCCAGGCGGATCATAATTACCGTAGTGTTTGGTGAGTCTTTTTGGGATTCGTCGTCTGACTTCTTCGGTGTTTTATCCTTATTTCGAACCTTTTTAATCTTCTGATTCGTATCATCATGACTTTTCAACGTCATGGTTTTGAAACTCTTTGTAAGATTTTCCTCATTCTTTATAGGGTCATCTTTATTTGATGTTTCGTGAACATTATTATCATCTACACTTTTCCCTTTTATTTTTCCTTGATTGTCATCAACTATTGCATTTTTCCTAGGAGTGGTTGGTACTCCGAATTTACTTTCACCGCTGATTTGGGCTTTATGCTGGAAGCAATAATTATTATCTACCACTGGACGTTTGCAGGGTAAACCGGTAGACAAGGAAATACCTTGACAAAGAGGTGAACCTCGACTTGGTGATTTCGTCTTTAGGAAGCTGACGGGTTTAAGCTTAATGGTATTTATGGGTTTCTTGGAAAAAGGAATTCTAAACAGCTCTTCTAAGGTAGGCTGCTTTGTTCTTTTGTCGGAGGAAGGTGAAAGAGTAGAACCCATGGTAGCAATCACAAAACGAATGTTTATTCAGTACTGTCTACAAGAAACAAAATTTACAATTAATTGTGTTAAATAGGTTCGAATAATGTAGGAAGGAAAGCGCTTCAAGTCATCTTACTATCGTCCCGTATTTTCACTTTGAATATACTATAGGCAGTACTGGTTTATGCGGTTAAACTAGCGAATGTTATTTTGACAGTCCACACACCCTTACGTTTGTTTTCTACTAGTCAAAATATAATGTTACGTCAGCCGCGCGATATACCATTATAGACTAATTTGGGTGCCGATCCAATAAATAAATATGAAAAATTAATTTTTTTATAATAAAAATAAATTATTGGTTTAATACTTCAAATACGCAAGAAATGTCAAAAAAAATTATGCACCCGAAGGTGCTATCCACTCAAGATTGAACGTGTCATCCTTGTGCAGGGGCCATGCTAATCTTCTCTGTATCGTTCCAATTTTAATAAGTGTTGCTCCGAAGAGACAACGATAGTACTCTCTAGGCTTAACTTATATACCGATATAATTTTAAATTATTTTGAATTATGGGATCTTATATCACATGATATCATAGATAATATCATGTGATTAGATATACTCAAAGAAAAAGCGTTTCGCGATTTTAAATACATATTCATATTCGTGTAGTAATTTAGTAATTTAGTATGGACAGATTTATATCTTCAACGGAATTAGAAGAATCTAGGCGTAAGAGAGAAGAAGAATGGAAGGCGGCATACGAAAGAATTGGTCAAAGTATGAATAAAAATTCTTTTGTTTTTTTTTTCAGCGTTAAAATCTCATCTTTTTTTTGCATTAACTTATGAATAGAACCGCCAGCAAAAGAAGAAGAAGTATACGATCCTCGTACTTTATACGAACGCTTACAAGAACAAAAAATGAAGAAAGAAGAATTATTTCAGGAAATGACAAGATTTAGTAAGTGGCATTAATAGATCTTGTGCGTAATTTACATAAAGCATATTATAAATCGCGGATTTACCTTTTTATGTCGTTAAAGTAAGTTGAATGTAACATAATTTCTAGGTAATCTAATTCATAGGCTTGACGAGGATGAAATAGAGTTTTTGGTAACATTAGAAAATGAGGAACGTGTCAAGGAATTGGAAAAGATGAAAAAAGTTGAAGAGGAACTTGAAGAATTCAGAAGGTTGATTATTCAATTTATTAGACTTTAATACTTTATTATTGTTCATTTTAAGAAGTTATACAATTTGATTATTCAGGGCGGCAGCTAAAGCTAATGAAGAAGCAATACCCAAACTTGTAGTTCCCCAAACACCAGCACCGGTTAAGAACGTGCTGAAAAGAGATGCACAACGCATGATTTTAAATAACGCAATAAAGAAAACCAGTAATTCCATAGTACGTAAAAAGTCTCTAGATAAAGAAAGCGTTAGTTCTGATGAACAATCGAGAGAAGCTAAAAGACAGAAGGTGGATTCATCGTCGTCATCAACAACAATAAAAGGAACGACTAATACTTTCAAAGTCAATGAGAAACCAATACCAGTGGTACATAGTGAGACTTCCAAAGAGCCATCAAAAACGACTATCTCTAATAATAACAACACATTGGCATCTTTATTAGAATATAGTGATGATAGTAATAACGACGAAAGTAATAGTGATAATGATAAATTGTAATCTTATACCACTAATAAATTTACGTATAATATACATGTATACAAATGTTTAGACAGTTCAACTTCAAGTAGCTTTCATTATATGTACTTTGTAAAATAACTATTTATTCAATTATTAAACTTTACAAGAAATGATATTTATAATTTTTATTATGATTATTCAATTGAATAAGACTTTAAAATAAAATATAATAATTACTAATGTATAATAATCCTATAATTAATAATTTATTTGTTTTTATTATTATGATATACTGTAGTATAACATGTATCTAGAATAGTTTATAGTTAATAATTTTTGTAAAAAAAATATAAATATAAATAAATAGAGTATATTAGGTAAGGTTTTGCTAATTAAGAAAAATATATTTGAAATTACAAATTAAATTATATTCTATTTTAACAAATTTTATTTAACTTTATTAATAATAATTAAAATTTTTAATTTAAAAAATTTTAATTTAATATAAAGTTTAAAAGATTATATTTGCTTAAATAAGGATTCTAATGATTTGATTCAATTCAATTCTTGATTCTCAGGTTTATATTAAATTTAATATGTGGATTATAACCTACTATTATTTTTAATAGTGTTTCAAATCTATTTAATTTCAATTTTCAGAATCATATTTACAAGTCTGAACAAGTTTCAATATTTACTAATCTATTAAACTAATAGAAAATAAATAGTTTTATTTATTATATTTTTTTAATATTAAATAATAATAATTTTTATTATATCAAAGATGAAATCTCTAGTATTTCTGATGATTGCAAGCTGAAACAAATTAAAAAATAAGATTGTATAAGAAAAACTTTTGGTTTAATTAAATATATGCCTATTGAAAAAATATCTTTTGCTATTTAGTATATTCACTAAAGTTAAATAACTTTAAAGATAATTATTAATGTGAACACTAATATATGAATTAAGCTTGTAACTAAACTAAAGATAGGTTTCTAAACTAATAGTAAAAATATAACTCAAATATCTCTTATTAAAAAAGTTTTTTTAAAAATATAATAACAAAAAAAAACTATTTACAAAAGTTTTTTATAATTTAGATCATTGAATTCAAGTATTTTTTAAGATTTGTTCCTATTAAAATAATAATTAATTAATTATATTCCTTTAAAAAAAAACATAATTGATCTATAAAATTTTATATATTAAACAATTTAGAGGCTTATCTTTAGATCAAACAAAAGTTGTAATTTACTTAATATTTATATCTTTAAATTAATAGTCAATACCAATTAGGATTTTTGAAATATTTATTGAAAGATTTAAAAGTTATATTTCATTTGTTTATTTGATTTCCAGGTTTAATAATCTGTATTAATCAAAGGATTTCTTGAAATATTTACTAAAAAATGTCAAGTAAAATCATAAGTACTGTTGCAATATAAACTAAAGATAATAAAAAATCAAAATAAAACTTACAATAGCTAGCATATTATTATCCTGCCTTATAATTAAGAATCAAAATTAGATAGTTTAAAACTGATAATAGAATTTTTATATCTTTAAATTCTTACTACTATATATTACTATATACAATACCCCCTCCAAATACCACACCTACTAATAATACCAGGTAGTATTCAAGAAAATTGTTATTTGATAATTGATTACTACCTGGATATATTAATATAATAATAAGTAAGACAATATTATTTGAATTTTATAATAATGATATATCCTGTCACTAATACTACCTCTTCTAGTAAAATACCCTCCGGGTATTAATTAATTTATTAGGAGGTAAATTGATTAATACCTGAGGTATTGTATGCAGTGGTATATGGTAGTATATAAATCTATCTTTAAGATATAAGTTGATATATTCAAATATATAAAATTGAATATACTAATTAATATTAGTATAACTAGTAAACTATTTATATATAGAAATATGTAATTTTTAATAATTAATAAAAATCATATATACTATATAACTTTTCTACTGATCCTTTTGCCAATCCAAAAAACAGATGTTCTCAAAAGATTTTATGTATTTATAATAATAAAGTCTATATACTTTCCTTAACAATATTAGTTTTTTAATTAGCAAAATGAATAGAAGCTACCACTTGTTTTATTTTTCCTTTTCAAAATACTTTTCTTGTTTATTTTTATAATTAAATACAAGAAACCTACCTAGAAGGTCTATGGCAAGAATACCTTTATAGAAAAAAAACTAACAAGAAAAAATACCTTCCAAAAATCTCCAAAAGATTTAAGAATTTAGAAAAACAAGAATAAAGAAGTCTTTAGTCTTCCTATTATCTTTTTGACTTTCCATTTCTTTTTTTTCAAGTATGTATCCTTTTTTTCTGATTTTTTTGGAAAATTTTGCCTACCTCAGTTTGATTCTGAATTTTTAGTTACACCAGATTTTCTAAAAGATAATTGATCAAAACCATGAATTGGTTAATCACATTAGTTACAAAAAAAGTAAACAAAACATATATTCCTTATGTGTTTCCAGTTACATAACACCAAACTGATGATATGATTGGTTTCTAAAAAAATTAGATAGTTTTTAGTTGAAGAAGTAGTATAAGAGTACTAGGCAAAGTTGAAGTTGTAAGTAGAAGAGGAGCAACATCTTTTTGTTTCTATTCTTTTGTTTTATTTTTTTTTGTTTCCTATTCTTTCTTGAGAACAGGAAGTAGCAACAAGGTTTAGGTTCTATCCCAATCTGATAACAAGTTGAAGTATTAATATTTATCTCAAAAATGATTAAAAAAAGAGATCTTGAAACTATCCACCAGTTGAATAAAGTAATAATTCCAGAAGATATGGCTTGGAAGAGAAATCAACAATAGAAAACCAATATTCTTTCTAATTAGAAGTCTTCAAACATAAAGTCTCAAAAAATACTCTCCTGAAAGTGCTCTTAAATATTCTTGAACATTGACTACTCCAATGGATATTAAACAGTTTGTTTGATCACAGGTGATAAAAAGTGAGGAATCATGAGAGGCTTGAATTTTGCAGTTTACAGAAATAACCTCTTCAATGATAGTTAAAATAGATAATAAATAGCTTTTTTTCTTTTATTTTGTTCAAAAAATTCCTTTTTTATTCCTTTTTTTCCTTGCATAGTTACTACAAGAGAAGGGTAACACAATTTGGGTTTATGGTTGTGACTATAGAGATGATCTGCAGGTTTTGATTCTATTGAAAGTTTGGAATCTTAATTCTATCCTTTAAAGGAATAACACATCATCCCCATAAATCATATCTAGAGGCTTTAGCTATCGATGGATAAGTTGAATTAGTAAAATTTATACTTTGTATGCATTCTCAACTTGTAATAGTTCTTTATGATTTAATAAATAAATAATATCAATCTGATTGTAGGATTAAAAAAAAAACTATTGAAATAAATATAATGAAATAAAATATTATTTTTTTTATAAAAAGAGTATAAAAATACTTTTATTAATAATTTAAAGCAAGATATTACTATTTATTTCATTATTATTTAATAAAATATTAATTTTTATAATTAAAATATAAAAAAATTAAAGAATATTATAAAAAAACTTTCTTCTGATCATGTTTACTTTGTTAAAAATTTTTCTTTTATAGTAATTTTTGTCAAAAAAAAATGTTTTACACTTTTTATTACAAGTAAGTTCAAGAACTCAAGAACTTTCAAGACAACTAATGCAATGGAATGGAACCTCTGGTCGAGTCTACTCAAGTTTGAAAGTTTTGTTTATCCTTCAGTTGCATAAGGAAAGACCCATGGCAATTCTCTTTTCTTTTGTTCTCTTACATCCTTCCTTTCATTTATCATAACATAAAAACCATCCATATCAATACCATTATACATGCTAAGTCAAATACTTTTCAAAAAACACACTCAAGCAGAGTTATTGGATCTACTGTTTGTTTTAATACAACCTTTATATACAACTCTATAATAGCGACAATTATTGTATTATTTCAAAATTTCCAAAATTTTTTGTCCAAAAAATCGAAATCAGTTTACCCTTCAGATAATCATCGCCCTTCAATCATTCAATTAGATTTTGTCAAAACAACAAAGAAAAAATCAAACCTGCTCAAACCAGTTTTCCAGTACAACAACAACTACTATTACTACTACTATAACAAACAATATCACGTGTACTCTTTTATCTATAGTAACTAAAGAGCTGGAGAGATGAGACCATGTGCCTGTTCAGGGGCTTTTTTGAGGAAGTAATTAGATTTCTACTTATAGATTTTATAGTCCATTTAATTTAGTTTTAGTTTTAGTTATAGTTGTTATTTTTTTTCATTTATCTCATATTCAAAAAATCAAAAGATTTCATAAAATTTTGTCAAATAAATAGGCATAGTTGCTACTTTACTATTTAATATTTTAATATGACTTTTGAAATTTTTTTACAATATTAGTTAGATAGTGATCAAGTAGACAAGCTAGCATATAACTTGTTATATGCAATATGTACCCAAGAGATGTTGTTTCTTTTTCAATGTATACATTCAATATATAATAATGAATAAAGAAATAATGTTTACCTATTGAAAAAAAATCCAAATATATATATATATATTGCTATTTTTTATTGAATTTTTATTTTCATATAAATAATAATAACTTTTATATTAGTAATAAACTTTTTTTATTTTTGTA